TACACATATCCTTTAGTCATGTATGTTTTTATTTGTTTGGGTCGTCAGACCAAACAAGTAATGGTAGCGAAATTTCAGACTCTAATGCTGTTAATTGCAAATGCCGAAAGTAGTCCGCTTTTTTGAAGAGGTTACTTCCCTTTATATGTAACACTAAGGCCGAAACATTCAGGGGAGATCACTGCGTAAATATGGTCACATGACAGGCGCATTAATTTTCAAGCAAAATAATTCCCGAATGGTCGAATATTTCTAATATTGTTTTATTCTTTATAGATATACATGCTTATAGTAAGCGCCATGATTATTTACACAAGTGTTAAACAACAGTTAGCGTCGGTACAAACCCTAATAACATATCAATTGACCGTGGCCGAGGGGTTGCGCGCTCGCTTAGGAAGCGAGAGGTCTGGAGTTCAAATCCCAGTTGAGGCAATTCATTTTTTTTTAATTGTTTAAGTCAAATAAACATTGGATTGAATATCAGTGTTGCAATTAGTCTTATAGCCAATCTACTACAATTAAAACGCTTGAAAGCATTGGTGGCACTATACAAAAAACAAATTGTTTTACAACCTTCACCTTTCTGACATTCTGAGACCCAAACAAATTCAGCGCCTTCTGTGCTTTGATTATACATGTAAACAGTGCCTGAAATTTATATTGTATGTCTTACCTTTATTACAGCATTACTTGCGGCGTGTGCGAATGATGACGACTGTACCGCTAACGAGGCTAACTCAGTATGTGATCTGGTAACAGACACGGATGGTATGGCAGATGGTGAATGTGTATGTGCAGCTGCATTCAAGGGTGATGGAGGCACTGGCTGTACTGCAAAAGGTTATTAATTTATATTCAACTGTCTGAAATATATTATCTGTTTCAAGTATTTTAAGTGTCATTATTGTCGGTACTATCAATGAAAGCTTGTAAGATATTGGTATCAAGTGATCTTAAAGTAAGTAAAAATAATACGTCTGTTTTTAGAGCTGGTAGAATATAAAACGCAATGGAGTCTACTCACTCGCAGCAGTAAAGTGGGAATGTACTAAGCCGTACAACATTTTCTACATTTTGTTTCGGTAGTATTTGTAAATGAGTCTACAAACATACGTGTGTGCCCTAATCACTTGATGAAAGATGATATTCTACACTGAGATAAAGAGATATATGAGCCATTCTATATTTTTGTAGCATTTTCTGTCCTAGGACCAAACCTTTGTATATTTAAGAGATTTTACTAAATATTTAAATGGACATGAACTGTTCAGCTAAAATCCCATAAGTTCAACAGTTTCCAGTCTTTAACGGTTATATAAACCCTTCATAATTTATTTAAAAGTGCCAATTAGAGCCAATTAGTGCTGTCCCTATACAAAAATAACAGCATTTGTGAAAATTTTACAAATCTATTGACAATTTAACTGTCAAATACATATCTTTTTTGTATTATCTTATGTATAAACGAGTCAATTATGATGTAAAACACACATTTACAACAGTTTTTCTATTATTTTTTAAAATTTGAAATCTGTCCCTAAAATTTATGTCACTCCTGTAACGTAATCATAATCAATAAAAGTAATAAATGATCCCTAGCTATTAAAAATGAAACAAAGCCTCTAGTATAAAGAGAAGTATCTTAATAGATTCACACACATGAGGTGCAAGGGGGGGTCGTCTTGTTAATGCATACGTCTGTTGGCAAGTACTTGCGTAATTTCTATTCCTGTCACCCCTGTAACGTGTAGTATGTTTTAATTGTCAGTACTGTGCATTTACATGAGATTTTTTGTAAAATATGTGGTAAAAGTCATTAAGAACAGTTCCCATCTATTTGGGATACATGTGAATCGTTCTTAATGATTTTTACCACAATGAGTAATAACAATCTATTTGGGGTACATTGTTATTACTTTTACCGAGATTGACAATGAATATTTCACTCATGTAACAGTCACTTCTGTCACAACTGATTTTGTAACAGAAGTAACCAAATAAGGTACATTAGAAAAATTTTAAACAATTATCAATTAATTAAAAGTGTTGTTTTTTTTTTAGAAAATGCCTTTATATTTATTGTATAAACTTTTTAAATTTTTTATATTATTTATTAGAAATAATGGTTAACTTTAAAAAAAACGATATAAAATGATATTCATTTTGCATAATTTATGTAACAGTAGTGACAAAATGTGTTACAGTAATTACTTATGTTATAATTATGATACCTAAACATAAGAGGAGGCCAAAATTGACCATATCCTTTGTATGTAAACTAGCTAAATGAAAGTTTTTAGTACAAACTTATTGATTTCTCCTGGACTTAAACATGGTTACACGAGTGACAAATATGTTACAGTTAAAGCGTTTAGTATTAAAGAAAAATTGTTAGTAAGTGATTTTGCAAACTAAATGATACTTTTAGGGGGAATGTAACTACTGCTAATATCATAATCATTATTATTTTTATCTATATAATTGTAATTCAACATTTGACAATAACTGCAGATTTTTAAAATATTTGTTTTATAATTTATAAGTGGTATAGATTTGTTTTACCTAATTTATCTATTACACTATTGTGTTAAGTATAAATTGAAGTTTTCAGAAATAGAATCGCTAAAAATATTCAAAACCGCGAAAAGGGAAATTTTGCAGGCTCAATGTTGATTTTCATTTCTGATGAAAACGTATCAAAGTTGAAACTAGTAGAATGTGTTTTTTTGCATATCAGACTGGTGTTTCCGTTATATTTACCCTTACCTGAAATTCATTGTGCATTGGGGTGGGAGGAGAGGGATGAGTCGTGCGCTATACAATGCGTGCCTAGGATAATGCATTTCACTGTTATGAATGAAGTTGAAAATTTATAAGCTACTATAACGAAATAGTTACGGATGAAATGACATTGATATTCATGAAGAACAAAATTTTATTGAATTAAACCATTTGAATGAAAAACATAATGACGCAAAACAACATTTTTTCTTCAAAATTATATGTAAGGTCATGTTATAACATGGAAAAACTCGATCTTGGGTAATTCCAATATTTTTCATCATTTTCTGTTTTAATTGATTAACCCATTACTTCATATAGACATCTTTTCACGCCTTTTCACACTTTTCGAGGCCTCAAATGGTGAAAGAATCACATATGCAGACCCAAACACTTGTTTACGTTTGATAAATGATGTTTAGAAAAGTGATCACCTTTTCGGCGTCGTCGCCTATGAAAAAGATACATGGGAGCGTGCCAGAGGGAGATGTACCCTCTTCTACTTAGGTATTTGAAGGGGGCAGCAGCCCCCTCATCGGCTTAAATATTTTTGACCTGTGAGAGGCTAAAATTGGCCTCTGGTCGATCAAATGGTAACGTGTACCCAACGCTGAAAGGCATTTGACTCTATCTCAATCCATTGCGAAGTTGCAGCACTTTGAAATAAGTTTTGATGGAAAAATATCAAAGCAAAATAGTGATTTTTGGCAATTTTGAGACATTCCCCTGTTGTCATGGTAACCTTAACTTTAAGATTGAGCATGTCGTTACAAAGGCAAAGGTCCAGTCAACATTTATGCCAAGTTTGAATCAGATCGGAATATCCGTCCCTAGGGTAAATGGACGGGTTCCCTCGGGATGAATTCCGATCAAAACTGCAACACGTGGCATATATTATCAGTCTTAATATTTACATTAATGATATGTTTGAAACATTGATATCATTTTGATAAATGAATAATGCTTTTCACAATAATACAATGGAATACTAGTACAGGATTTCACTCTTCTGGGCATCCAGAGCAGATCTTGTGTGACCAGCAATAGAAAAAAGTGTTAAAGTAATATCGTATTATGTTTGATAAAGAAACTAACATTAAAGTACAAAACGCGTCCGAATATTAATTAACAGGAGAACAGTTTGTACAGTTATATGTGATTTATTTGAAGCTAATCAGTGGGATCGTGCAGCTTTGAAAAACTTTGAACAATAGGCTCATTAATTAGTATAAAAGTTACAAGGTTGACTTTTTTTCTCCGATTTGCTTTTATTTTTCCCGATTTCAGTTGCATGAAAGATACCTTTTTGTAAATATATTTTAAATATGTCATGAAATGATGTTTATTTAAGCTTTACCTCTTTACCTTTAATGTGTAACAAACATGTTTTGTATAGTTTTGAATGATGCATGTGGAGCAACTTCCGAATGTGCAGCCGTCACGAATGCAGTTTGTAACACGAACTGTGTGTGTGAGGGACAATACAAAACGTCAGGAGCTACTTGTGTTGCTAAAGGTTTGTTGATTTCAGCCTGTTTGTGTAAGCCTTACTTTTCGACAATTTGACTGTTTTGAATTAAATAATCAATTAATATCATCACATTCAGAACTGAAAAAGCAATTAAGCTATTAAGATTCTGTATTAAAGTTAATAAACATCATCGTCGTTAGTAAATTACTTTGACATATTGGTAAGCTGATATTTTAAAAAGCGTATTTTTTTGCCTTTTATAAGTGAACAGTATCAAAACATCACAAGCATTTGGAGAGAAGAATAAATTATCTAAATCTACCTCCGACAAAAGTTGTCTTGCTGTAGACTTCAAAAATTTATTCAATGCTTTTTCACAATAATACAATGAAATACCAGTACAAGATTTCACTGAGCAGATCTTGTGTGACCAGCAATAGAAAAAAGTGTTAAAGTAATATCGTATTATGTTTGATAAAGAAACTAACATTAAAGTACAAAGCGCGTCCTAATATTAATTAACAGGAGAACAGTTTGTACAGTTATATGTGATTTATTTGAAGCTAATCAGTGGGATCGTGCAGCTTTGAAAAACTTTGAACAATAGGCTTATTAATTAGTATAAAAGTTACAAGGTTGACTTTTTTCTCCGATTTGCTTTTATTTTGCCCGATTTCAGTTGCATGAAAGATACCTTTTTGTAAATATATTTTAAATATGTCATGAAATGATGTTTATTTAAGCTTTACCTCTTTACCTTTAATGTGTAACAAACATGTTTTGTATAGTTTTGAATGATGCATGTGGAGCAACTTCCGAATGTGCAGCCGTCACGAATGCAGTTTGTAACACGAACTGTGTGTGTGAGGGACAATACAAAACGTCAGGAGCTACTTGTGTTGCTAAAGGTTTGTTGATTTCAGCCTGTTTGTGTAAGCCTTGCTTTTCGACAATTTGACAGTTTTGAATTAAATAATCAATTAATATCATCACATTCAGAACTGAAAAAGCAATTAAGCTATTAAGATTCTGTATTAAAGTTAATAAACATCATCGTCGTTAGTAAATTACTTTGACATATTGGTAAGCTGATATTTTAAAAAGCGTATTTTTTGCCTTTTATAAGTGAATAGTATCAAAACATCACAAGCATTTGGAGAGAAGAATAAATTATCTAAATCTACCTCCGACAAATGTTGTCTTGCTGTAGACTTCAAAAATTTATTCAATGCTTTTTCACAATAATACAATGAAAAACCAGTACAAGATTTCACTGAGCAGATCTTGTGTGACCTGCAATAGAAAAAAGTGTTAAAGTAATATCGTATTATGTTTGATAAAGAAACTAACATTAAAGTACAAAACGCGTCCGAATATTAATTAACAGGAGAACAGATTGTACAGTTATATGTGATTTATTTGAAGCTAATCAGTGGGATCGAGCAGCTTTGAAAAAATTCATTAATTAGTTTAAAAGTTGCAAGGTTGAATTTTTTTCTCCGACTTGCTTTTATCTTTGCCTAATATCAGATGCATGGTAGATACCTTTTTGTGAATATATTTTAAATATGTCATGAAATGATGTTTATTTAAGCTTTACCTCTTTACCTTTAATGTGTAACAAACATGTTTTGTATAGTTTTGAGTGATGCATGTGGAGCAACTTCCGAATGTGCAGGCGTCACGAATGCAGTTTGTAACACGAACTGTGTCTGCGAGGGGCAATATAAAACATCAGGATCTACTTGTGTTGCTAAAGGTTTGTTGATTTCAGCCTGTTTGTGTAAGCCTTACTTTTCGACAATTTGACAGTTTTGAATTAAATAATCAATTAATTTCATCACATTCAGAACTGAAAAAAACAATTAAGCTATTAAGATTCTGTATTAAATTTCATAATCATCATCGTCGTTGATATATTACTTTGACATATTGGTAAGCTGATATTTTAAAAAGCGTCTTATTTTTGCCTTTTATACGTGTATAGTATCAATTCAGCCGGAATCGACCGTGTCGTGAAATATCATCGTTAATTGTAATTTACAAGAAGGCATATACATTGTACTTTATAATATATTTTCCAAAGAAAAGCTTTATGACAGAAGTATTTAAATTTAATTATTTTTGTTTAATTTGTGTGACGTTATTAGGTGTTGTGCTGTATATCTGTCTGTCTGTCTATTTTCTCATCAGACAATTTGTTTCCGCGTTATAAATTTTGTAAGAGTCTTTGAGTCTTTGATATAAGTTATAATAGTTGTCATGTAAATACACTTTATCACATAAACCACGGTGCAGGAGTGCAATAAGGCCATTTATCAGTCTTATCAGTCTAACTTACTAAATTGTCTTAGCCGTTGTTCTACTATTCGCACGTGCAAACGGGCGTTTTATTTGAACAAATGAATACAAAAAACGCTGTTAAATACAGTTTTGGAAATAGACTGACAGAAAATTTCATATTGGTAAAATACTATAGGTGATTAGGCAAGAGGATGAATGCTCCTGAACGTTATAAGCACCGCTTTGACATTTCAAAATGCAATGAAAAAAAAAAGATTTTTATAAGTTGATTGCTCGTAGGATACTTGAATATGCCCACATGTCATCAAGAGCAGTTTTTCTTTGAAAAATCCTATTTAGGATAGAAGTTTAACATTCATCGGCAAAAATAAAATTGTTATGTGTAGAATGGAATTAAACACTGTAATGAAAACTGCATGTATTTTGTTAGAGGCCTAATATGTCTCAGAATTGCTGTTCTCTAAATCATTTTGTTTTATTTTGATTTCCATTTGGTTTCCTGTTATAGTTTCTAAAAGAAATTTGCCATTTACCTGAACCATTTTGCCTTTGTTGCCTTTTAGCAATTAGTAGAGATACTAGTATAGTGATTTAGTATTTTGTATGGAAGCCAAATAACTACTTTGTTAACATTTTGATTCCTTTATAACAAATAATTTCACATTCAGCACTTCTTTCTACAGGTTCATACGCATCTAACATTCCATTATGTAAACGTTACCGTTGGCCTTCTAAAGGTTGTAAAAATTTATTCGTTTCTGAGGCATAATGTGCCATTAAGCTTCTTTTTATACAGCTTGCGAATGAATATTTGGCTGTAGTGTAATTAAACATTGATTATTGATCCAACAACCATAGCTCCGTAATTTAAAACTTATTTTTGAACGAGTTTTATGTGTTTTCTCCGAAAAATAAGCTATTATTTTCTTGGAAATAAATTTCGATTAAATCTACTTTTTGATTGAATTTGTATTTTACACGTTTAGGTCTTGGAGACACGTGTGGCGCTAATTCGGACTGTTCCGGTGTTAGTAACTCTGAATGTAGTACAAATTGTGTGTGTAGCTCAGGTTATACACAGAGCGGTTCTACTTGTAGCACTGGAAGTCGTGGTGAGTTCATGCCAGATGAAGTTTCATATTAATTAATTATTTTTTATTTATTTATTTATTAATTTATTCATTCATTCATTATACATGTACACGAAAGACATGCAATATTTGTTATTGGTTTTGTTGAATTCATCATAGCTTTCAACAAATATAACATTTACATTTTGTGAGGCATTTTAAAATGATGAACTATGGATAAATTAAAAATTCATTGAAGTAGAAAAAATCTTCAATAGTGCATGTAATTTAACAATTCATCATTTTTTTTTTCTTTCTCAGAACGAATTCTAAACAGGAAAAGACAGGTGTTTCTAAATTGTGATCATGGTTTTGCGCACAATACTTTTTATAAGCACTACATATCTGTAAATGCACTCTACAATCTACTTTTGGTCATCCTCGTAACTGCTTAAATAACATGTTTTATCTATCACTTTGATCACTTATAAGTGATAATCAATAACATGCCTTCATTATGGACATCGGCTCTCAGTATGAAAAAAAAGACAGAAAGGCTTAATCTTATTCTATCAATATTCATTGAAATGCTTTGGGATGCATTTTGTAACGTGTTTTTCTTGTGAAAACCATAGCGTTTATATTATCGTTACATACGACTGCTGCAAATGTATGGATTACATTTTTCTATATTTACCCTTTGTTAATCAAAAACAACTTTGTTCCACGATAACGAGTTCGGCAGGTCATGTCATACATTTGTATTAATGGCAGTTATACGCCTGGTTATGTATTTTTTCATAAACCGTCATTATTACCAAGTTAAAACGAGCCTTCATAAAGTGTATCATGTATATATTATTGCATACGTTTTAGTGTATTTTGCCAGTGATTCATCATTTGACATTCTCAGCCTTGTTTTATATAAAACAGTTTGTCTACTTTCACGTTGAACGACCTTGGTGAAAATCAAACATGCCTGACATATCAGAATAACCTTGTATTTTGATTGTTGGCATTATATCTACATAACTAATTTATTCCTTTGCCCCCCCCCCTCAAAAAAAAAACAAAAAAATTAACAGCAGACTATGTGTTAATGTTTTATTTGCTACCTGATTTAGAAAATATAGTGTATGGTTTCTTTTCTTTTCAGGTATGTCGAATTTACCATTATCGGTATCATTATTTGTTAGTGCGTTTGCTATTACCATTTTCAAGAAAATGTGTTAGACATGTGGTGACAATTCGCTGAGACATATAATTAGTAAGTAATCACCAAATGAATCACATTAAACTAATAATGGACTTATCAGAGGACACATAATTCTCAAGTTCTACATTCTTGTAATAAATGTCAAACCTTTTGACATGCTTGCTCCTAAGTGCTGGATGTCAAACGATTTGATATGATTGCTCCTTAAAGTTGTATGTAGATCTAAACTATGGTATGATTGCTCAGGGTTTGAGGTCATACTTTTTGGTATGATTGCTTCTTTGGGTTTGCGGTCATACCTTTTGGTTTGATTGTTCTTGGAGTTGGTAGTCATACTTTTGTGTTTGATTTATTCCTATACCTTTTGGATTGGGATGGAAGTCATAGCTTTTGGTACAATTGCTCCTTTGGGATGGAGGTCAAAGCTTTTGGTATAATTTCTCACACGTTAAACAAGTCATACATTTTAATCTGATTGCTCCTTGTGATTGAAGATCATACCTTTTGGATTGAATGCTCTTTGGCATTGGATGTCATACATTTTGGTATGATTGTACCTCGGGGCTGGTGTTCATACCTTTGGTATGATTGATTCTTTGGTTTTGATGTCCTACATTTTGTATGATTTGCTCATTGGGGTTTGTGCTCATACCCTTTGGTATGATTGCTCCATCGGATAAGATGCCATATCTTTTGGCATAATACCTCCATGGTATTGAAGGCCATACACTTTGGTATGATTTCTTCTGTGAATTGGGTTGGAGGTTATATCTTTTGGTATAATTAACTCCACGAGGTTGCAGTATCATACCTGTTTGTAAGATTGCCCATTGGGTTAAGGGTCATACCGTTTTTGTATAATTTGCTCCGGGGGAAGGGGGTCATACATTTTAGTAGGTTTTCCCTCATTGGTACTGCACATGCATAAAAGAGGAGATAAACCCGTAAATCCGACCCGATGGGTTGCTTTCTCGGGGAAGCAAAAGTATCTGCGAATGTTATGTAATCGATTGGCACCAAGATTACCGAAGGTTTGCAAGGGTTCAAGAAACAATCACAAACCGATGAAATGTACTCGACAGGGTCCCTAGATGTAAACGCTAGTCTTATTCCATGAACTAAAAAAAAAAAAAAAGTATGCGAAGATTTTAGAAACAAAATCAGACAGTGAAATGGACTCAGCAGAGTCGCTAGATGTCAACACTGATCCTGATAACTCTGTTAAACGTTCTGGATATAAAAAGTGAGATAGCTGACTTTGACCACAGTTCATAATACGGTTTTGTTTGTATGGTAATATCATGGATTTACAGGGCTGAACCTGTTAAGCTTAGGTAGAACAATGATAATGAAAAACACTGAATGACAAACATATTAATTCGAACATTTTCACTTTTTCGAATGTTACTATTTTAAAATACATTATGTTTCATTTTATTTACAAGCAACGCTTCTCATGTTAGCAGTACACTACGGTACATTATGCAAATTAGTGTACATATAAATTCATAAAGGTACGAAAAACTAGCTTCTTTAACGCATGTGCTTAAATCCCTTGTAATGCATGTACAGTACTCCTCCCCCCCCCCCTCCACCACCCCCCGCAAAAAGGGAAATGGTATGCAGATGATGTCCAACAATTTCCATTGACCTCAAAGTGCTATACACAAAAAAAGAATTGCATTGCTTAAAAGAAAGTTATCTTTTATGTTTCATTTATTTCAGTAAGAGGACAAGACAAGTCGTGTAGGATTGCTTATCAATGATAACTTCACAGTTTAAGATAAGACACACCTTGCACGGGAAACAGATGATGACGACTATCTTGAAAGTGTAGGATTGATTATCAATGATAACTTTACAGTTGTAGATAACAATACATCTTACACGGGAAACTAGTGATAGTGACTATCTGTCGTGTAGGATTAATTATCAATGATAACTTTAAAGTTTAAGATAAAACACATCTTGCACGGGGAACAGATGATGGCGTTTGTCTGGAACATGTAGGACTGATTATCAATGATAACTTTAAAGTTTATGATAAAACACATCTTGCACGTGAAACAGATGATAGCGTCTGTCTGGAACATGTAGGACTGATTATCAATGATAACTTTAAAGTTTATGATAAAACACATCTTGCACGTGAAACAGATGATAGCGTCTGTCTGGAACGTGTAGGACTGATTATCAATGATAACTTTAAAGTTTAAGATAAAACATATCTTGCACGTGAAACAGATAATGACATTTATCTGTTGAACAAACTATGACTAGAATGATTATTAAATTATGTTACAATAATCGACGACTTACTGGTTATCCACAGTGCTTTCTTGTTGACAGCAATTGTCACTTTGACTTGGGGTTTAAAATATCATCTACTTGTTTGGAATGATGGTGCAGATGTCTGACTATCTATCCACTATTTTATATGTCTATGACGCGAAATTTGTTATTATTCATAACTTTCATTTACATGTTCATTTTGCTTTATATCTTTGTAAAACATGTTAAATATTCCATTTTTTATCAATTATTCATATTGATATGTCTTTTAACATAACCTTTTATCATTACATGTATTATATCATTGAAAGTAATCTATTGAAATACGTCATTTAACTTAATCCTTTTTACATAGCATTAAACTTGATATAATTTAAAAAAAGATACAAATGCAGCTTAATCACAATTTTCTTGAACTTCTGATAGCTTGTTTCTATAACTTACTATATTATCATGACATAACGCTTTCTGTTATGTCATGTAATACATTTGTTGATGTTACCAGACCTATTAATCACGCCACTTTGTTGCGTGAAAAATTATCAACAGAAACAAAAAAATCAACATTATCACGTAGACTGCATGTATGTACACATTCAAATCACGCATATTTTGCAATACCTGATTAAAATACTGCAATAAACTGAATAAAATTTTGTTTATCATGATTTCCAGGAATAAAAGGAGTTAAAAACTGCTCGTCTTTTTCCGTCTTTTTTCATTAATATTTTTTATTATCATTATTACACTTATTAGTCTATATAAACTGAATTAAAAAGCTCTGACTTGCTTTATCTTTGATAAATAAATAACTGTTATGGCTAAAAGGTATTAAACTTCTGTTTGTTTTTTCTTAATAAATCTGTTTAATTTAGGGTACGTATTTGTCCAACGACATATGTGAACGTATGTAAACGTGAGGACTCTTTTGGTCACATATGAATATCACATATAATTTATAACCATCCTTTTTAAAATGTAAATAGCAAACTACCCAATGAAGTAACTCGGCATAAATTTGTTAAACACAGCGTGTTTATATGTTAAGCAATAACAAGGATAAAATAAAACAGCTTTCTTGACATTTTTTAATATTAGATATTAACATTGAGTATAATAGAGCCTGGTCGGAGTGCACGGGCTTTTCATACTGATCTGGCTATGTACTGGTAGCAAAGGCTAACCACTGTTGGGTCAACAAGGTTAAGAGTTAAAGTTTGTAATGATCCGTTTGAAGAATGTATAACAATAGGAGAAATAAGCACACCAATTGTTGAATAGCTTAAAGCTGCACGCCTCCAGATAAGCCAAATATTTCAAGACAATCAATATTGAGAAACATGAACTAACATTTTAAGAAAGGTAAAAACATTCAAGATCCAAGTTATATTTTACATGTTAAGTGCGGTTCAAGACTGATTTTGCAGTATTTTGTTACCATACTTCTACTGCGTTAGTAATGCAGTGAGTGCTGTTTTTGCATATGTTGACGACTTTTTGGAAATTTTCTTAGATTGCAAGTGTCGATTGCAATATGTTATTTACTTTACTTGTTCAACTCACAATATTTTGCTATGAAAATACATTTCCAAATTTTTCATGAAAATAAACATGAATCTGGAGGCGTGCTGCTTTAAATGAATTTAATTAAGAAAACTGTCTAAAACATTTTGTGAAGCAAAACCGTTTCAATGTCACAATCTTAATTACAATCATTCGTCTCAAACCATCGCACAACATTTTATAACTCTCATTTAATAAAAAGCATATCGTTTTCTTTCGAAAACCTAACGAAGAGCCATATATGACATTTGCGCTGACAATATATGAGCCGTGCCATGACAAAACCAACATAGTGCGTTTGCGACCAGCATGGGTCCAGACCAGCCTGCGCATCCGCGCACTCTTCAGGATCCATGCTGTTCGCTATCAGTTTCTCTACTTGTTATAGATTTTGGTAAGCGAACAGCATGGATCCTGATCAGACTGCGCGAATACGCAGGCTGGTCTGGATCCATGCTAGTCGCAAACGCACTATGTTGGTTTTGTCGTGACGCGGCTCATATACTTGTAATCAGTATGCAAATGACCGATTTATAATGTGTGGAACAGACTTGCTGTTAAATAAGAAATTATAGCAAAGTGTAGATTTTTTGCGCGAATTAAATACTAGTAAGTGTCATGTAAATTAAAAGAAAAAAAACAGTACGTAGAAATTGCCGAGTATCTACCCAAGCCATTTAGGTGACGTGAAGAGGGGAGACCACTCGTGAAGTATGTCATCTACCCGACAATAAAGGAGAGATCACTTCGTGAAAATTGTAATGACGTGCCTTTAATTACGTACCAACGTTTATGACGTCATTACGTTAACAACCAAATCATTTAGCGACGCCAATTTGACAAGATCTGCAGATTAATTCAGCTGTCATCCTTTATTACTTGTAAGAAAAAATATAAGAATGGACACTGTATATCAGCCTTCATATATCTTTTCGCAGAACGGAACTCTGATGTAAGTTTATCTTTTCTTTATTTTTGCCGATCATCAAACAAATGGAGAAGTGATTTGAATTCCGATTGAAAATTAAATAGATCTATTCCTTTGTGAAAAGTGAAGATGAATTATTGTAAAGTATTTTACTTATCAAAACTTATGTTGTTCACTTCAAATAGCTACAAATGATTAATGTAACTATCGTTAGTGATAAAAAGTGAATAAATATAGACAATTCACTTCAATTGTAACAATAAAATGTTCTTAAATATGATTGATTAATCATATTTTATTCAATTTTTTTGCAGAACCAATCGGTTTGTTGAGTTTCGGAAGCTGTGTGAATTATTTGCTGATGAAATTATAAAAGGACGAGATCCTTCAGCAATGATATTAACCAAGATCACAAAATTCCCGCCTCTTAGATGTAACAAATAATTACCATTATATAATTATAAGTTTTATTTATTTCTCTTTTTCATATACATGTATATCAATCTTTATATTATTTCATTTGTTTTTTAATAAGTTATTAAGAATTGATTTATAGAATTTATCCACGCAAATTTGTGTTCATTCCTTTTTTTCAATATTGATTAATAAATCTGGAGTATATTCATGCATATGTACATTCTTTACTCGATATTGATAAATCTGATGTTCATTTCTTCATGCGTACAGTCTTTTTTTCAATATTGATATTTTCATACATATTTACTTTCTTTACTCAATATTGATTAATAAATTGGAATATATTCATGCATGTGCTCATTCTTTTTTCAATATTAATTCATTGATCTAGAGTTTAGTATTGTATGCATACTTTCTTTATCAAATGTTGATTAATCTAGAATATATCCGTGTATGTGTATTTTTTTTAATTAATATTGATTAATCGAGGGTATATTCGTAAATGTTTTCTTTATTAAATATTGATTAATACAGAATGTATTCGTGTATACTTTCTTAAGTAAATATATCTATTTCTGTACACATACTTTTTTATTCAGTTTCAGAGATCTGCCGAGGACGCGATTTTGCGCCATTTGCGCTAAAAAAATGAGAATGGCGCAGGAAAATCGGGAGCAAAGGGCCATTGGCGCATCTAAAATCTGTGCCAGACTTATAAGAAAACAAAACTGTCTGCTGGGTTATTTAGTCATCCAGTCAAAACTGGTACCAACAGCAACATGTTACCCATGCTCCTGTAATTACGCATATTCTTTAGTTTATCCATTCCCCTATAGCTTTTGTCCATGTTATCTACTTACCGCATTTCTTCTCATAATCCCTTTCCCACACAGATACTCATTTCTACTACCGTAAATTTAATCCAATAAAACAAACAAACAAATTATACAACTACTTAATATTTGAAATGATTATCTGTAACTGAAAAAAAAGTGTTGCTATTTTAAGAAATGCTGTAAGTTACAGTATAATCTGACAGGTGTTCAGCTTGATCAACCCTAAGGTCACTCAAGTTCACGCAAGTTTTGGCTGATGAAGTGTAAAAAAAGATGTATATTTCGTCATCAGAATGTTTGACAGGGTGATTAACCAATCAGAGAAACATTGTGCATGACTTTTTTCATGATCAAAAGGTCTGTCGGCAAATGTCTTTGATGTATGCTGTCTACACAGAGGCATACAAGGGGCAATAAAATTCGTCAATATACATTGGTAAGGGACATTTTGTGCAAAGTAGGAACAATTAAATGGATAATGCACAATATAAGACATTACAAGTAAGAACCAGCAATTATGTGAATAAATTTGCATATCAAATTTTTGAGCAGCCATTAAAAAAATATTTTCATTTTTGCCTGCAATTAATATTAGTTAGAAAGTTACCATGTAGGCATAATTTTTAATTATTCGTAAAGTACTGAATTATAAGTGAACCACTTGTCATAAAATATGATTTAAGTTTTATTACCGGGGAAATTCAATTACATGTATCTACAAACTTTTTAACAGTTATTTTGGTCAGTGTTTACTTATTTTCCCCAAGGCCCATACTTTGGTAAAAATGGCCCATCATTTTCAGACCAAGTGGGCCCAGGGCCCAGTACTTTCAAATTCTTGGCAGATCTCTGCAGTTTTAAATAATCCAATGTATATTCGGATCTGTCGAGTATAAATATGTGGGTAACTTTCTGTCAAATCAAATATATCTCTAAAATTTACTTTGTGACCAAATGTTTGTAAGTAATTATGTTAAGTTCAAATGTCTAAATATATTTCCGTTCAATTAGTTTTATAGACATACTATTATTGTTATATTAAAAACTACTTAGGTTTCATTCTATAGCATATTTTTATGCAATCATTAAAGGCACATTATGCCTCAGAGATCAATGTTAATTAAATTCTTTGGAAATGTCAAACATGTGTTAAATCATGTTTTGATAATAGATTTAAAGCATGTTAGATGTTTAACTGCTGAAGAAATTATCTCTTAATGTGCAGTTATGTGTCACATATAGCAAAATGTCAACAAAGTAGTATTTTGACTTTCTCATAAAAACTTATTCATAATAATTATACCAATTGCCAACAAAGCAAAAAAATTCAAAGATAGTTAATCTATAGGGCAAATGTTGCATCTTTTCATCACCCCTCATGTACAGACTCAATCAAACCGAGTCTGCAATTTTCATGTAATTTTGCTGTTTTTAATGCTTCCGATGGATCACTTTTTTCCAGATTTTTTTTTTGATAGCATTTTAAGCCATAATGGCCTGTATGATAAAGATAATGTGCATAGTGAAAAGTAAACGATCGGAAGGAAACTTTTTCTTAACTTGTGAATTATGTTTCTGAAGTTACTCTGTTGAACGAGGCTTTTGATCTACTGAAAGATTCTGCGTTTGAATATTATATATCTCGTGAGAAGGGTAATTTAGATTATTGGCCTGAAGATGACCCGCAAAATGACGAAGGTGATTCAAAGAGTTCAAGCCCTTCAACTGATAGGTTGAGAAGAACAAGACAGACATATAATACGTAAGTTAAAAAGCTTTATACACGTAATACCGTAACTTTTGATTTTAAAGGAACTCCGCTGAGGTCAATGTTATTAGCCGTTAAACATTAAAATTGAAATTCTTACATAGAGGAAGTGATGCACTAAAATAGGTATTTCTGCAAAGGATAAAAAAAGAAATATACTCTGAATCAACTTGAATATCGATTTT